AACCGCTGTACGAGTTGATGCTTCTGGCTAAGAGCCTCGCCCCAGTTCATCAGGACATGATTTTAGGGCGGGGGTTGGCACTCAGTAGGGGCCTTTATCAGCGAGCTATACGACGTATAGGCTAGGGAATAATAGTTTCCCACTATGAAAGTAAAAGGAACAGTTCGTCCAAAGTAAGTCATTCACATTAATTTTGCGTGTATATATACAAGTCGTGTCAGGCTCGACCTGTCTAGCAGACAGTCTTCCAGATCTTCTTCCACCATGGCCACGTGGTTTGAATTCTGCGCTCCTCTTCCAGTATCTCCTTGAGGTTGTGGACTTCTCTCCTCCCGCTTGTAATGTCAATCTCGCCGATCTTTCGGATCTTGGTCCTCTTTATCAACTTATAGCCAATAAACATCGCGAGGACGATAGGTGCTGCGAGGTAGACTTCAAAGAAATACTCCACCAACTCGGAGGCAGACATGTCAGCATAGCCAACGGGTGCAAAGCCTGTCCAGAACTGCGCCACGAGAATCAGGATGTTCATGACCAGTCCTATCCATGAGCCATACACAGTAGCCTGGGATTTGAAGGCGAGTTCGTCCAAACTACGGCCAGCAAGACGCCAAGCACTGCGGAAGCGGATGTGGCATAGGCAGATGGTGCCCCTTAGATAGACAGGTCAGTCAGAGCGCGGGGTTTTCGGGAGTTCAGCACTGCTTACCAGGTGAAGATTGAAGCCAGGCCGCTGATAGCGATCATCCAATTGAAAGCCTGGGTTGTGGTGTCCGGACCAGCCGCGACAATGTAGCACAGGAACCCGATGAGGGAGGAGACAATAATAGCAACCAACGGACGGCCTTCACGGTCAACATAGCCCAGGATCTTGGGGGCCTGTCCCATATCTGCGAGTGCGGCTAGAGTACGGCTGGAGCCGTAAACGGAGGAGTTTCCCACAGACAGGACTGCAATGAGGATGACCACATTCATAATGGAAGGCACCGCATCGATCCCGGCGTTGCGGACGGCAATGACAAACGGAGAGGCGTTGGCGTCGGATGAGGAGCTGCCGTTCAGAAGTTGTGGGTCATTGTAGGGGACGAGGACGCCCACAATGGTAAGAGACACCATGTAAAACAGGGCGATTCGCCAGAAGACTTGCTTCACGGCCGTGGGTAATGCGATGCGAGGGTTCTCGGTCTCTGCAGCAGCTAGGCCTACCAACTCGGTTCCGCTGAAAGAGAATGCGGCAGTGACAAACACAGAGCACAAGCCCTTGAATCCGTGGTTCTAAGGATAAATCAGTATCCAGGCAAGGTATGGAAAACGGTGCTCGGCTTACAAAAGCGCCTGGATCATACCAGTAGTGGGTGCCGATATAGCCTCGAGAATCGCCCGGGACACCACCAGTATTGATAATGATACCGAGTATGACAAAGCCGATGACGGCGATGACTTTGATGATCGAGAAAATGAATTCAGCTTCGCCATAGCCTCTAACACCGAAGAAGTTGATGAGAATAATGGCTACCAAGAATATGGTCACCCAAGCCGCCCCATTGACGTCCCGAGTGCCAGGCCAAAATTCAAGTGTCAGAGACGCGGCGACAATTTCAAGCGGAAGTGTCACAAGCCACTGGAGCGCATAGCTGGAGAAAGAGTCAGATTCAGCAGGACAAGTGTCAGCACTGCGATACTCACTTCCAGCCCATTGCAAAGCCCCAGGCCTCGTCCACGAATCGGCTGGCGTAAACAGAGAATGCTCCAGCAACCGGATACTGCACTGCAAGTTCACCCAGAGCATGGGTCGTGCAGTACAACGTGATTCCTATCAGACCATACGCAATGATCAATGATGCAGGACCTCCGTTGGCCAGTGCGGAACCAGAGCCTACAAAAAGGCCAGTCCCGATCGAGCCCCCAATCGCGATCATCTGGAGATGGCGTCCCTTCAACTTCATTGCCAAAGCAGGCTCGGCGGGAGGCTGGTCTGCGAGCACCCTGCCATTCGCATCAATGGCTTGTGTCGTGACCCGGGCATGGGGATTGCGTTTAAACCCATCCACGAACCGACCGAACGCGGTTGAAGCTCGAGGAAATTCGACCTTTCCTTGGGAGAAGTCGGAGCTGCCACTGGGGCTTGCCGACATTGCTTCAACGTCCTTCTCCATTGCAGCTTGTTATTGTGGGAGTGATGACAAGGGGGTAATCTCCTGACGGGGAAGAGTTGATAGAGCTGAGGGGGGATTCATATTAAGATATAGACCAACGGGTCGGCAGCACGCGTCGATCGTCGGCAATATGCGATGGCATTTGATAGCAAGCAACGAATGGAAAACATTTACAGAACATAACCGAAGCGGAGAAAAGTGAAAATTTTGTGGATGACAAAATGTCGCATATTGAAAGCATTGGGGCAAGGCTACCTTATCACTTGGCTGAGATGCAAATCCAGATGTCACGGTCCCACTTTCCACTGGCAAAATGGTTGACGGTACCAATGACACACTGTATACGATCAATTGTGTCCTCCATTGACCACTGAGTGCTCGGATTTTACAGGAGGATGATCGGTAGAGTGGAGCTGGTGATCGTTTACTGAAGGGCGTGAGGTTACAACGAGATTACGGCACTCCGTGTGGACATACCGAGGAGACGATAGGAGCTGGGCGAGGCTAATTTAGAAAGGGGGCAAAAATACACACGGTGTTTTGCAGCAGACACGGGCTCTCCATATATCGGTTGTGGTGGTATGCAATGCGAGAATAGAGGTTGTTGAAGGAGAAAACTTCTTCGATAGTGCCGGCTGCGTGGTGGCGGCGACGCGTGGCTGCGTCAGCCAAGCCAAAGTTTTTCCGAGAGTTCGGAGCAATGTCGGGAACTGGAAAAACTCTGTTCCGGGACAACAGAAAAATTCCCTCGAGCCTTGCATGCAGTTCAAGGCTGGTTCGAGCATACGCCTGGATGGATACAACTAAGTATCGTGAAGGCAATTGGAAGGACGATGTGCGCCATTATGCCAGAAGGAAACTAGGTAATGATAATGGAGGAGTGTGATGGTGATGAAAGGGCTATCAAAGGGCTTCAGGATTGCTGCCAATGCTAGGTACTTGTTTTCTAGCATCGCACAATTCTCCTTCACCACAATCAACTTGGCAACAAAAGCTTATAGTCAAACCTCTTCAGCTGCCCTGGATGGAAGTCTAATGCCTTCCCAAGCACGCGAGCCGCTCCTCACGGGCAAAAAGGCACTGTACCTCGTACCGAGGACATGTTATACAACCATTTCATCTTTGTCGTGAAGCCAGGTGGGTGTGTTCCAACTGAAAATCCAAGCGTGTAAGATATCCTAATCATACCGTTTGTCCTTTTGGAGATGAAGTGTCATCTTTACATATTCTTTCATGTGTAAACGAGATCGCCATCATTCTGCACGGACAGAATAGGTATTATTCTGGAGGTCGGGCCAATGGAAGAGCTTGGTAATAGGTGAAACCACGGCGTTCGGAAGACCAGGTCAGCGGTGGGTGTCAACGGTAGACTGAGTCTTTCATTCGGAGTCCTTTGATTGGTGTACTGAATAACAAACCAGATAATGATGGAAAACGGGTGGTCGAGCGTAGGCGACGGCGTGGGGAGGAAAAGAGTTGATGGTAAATAATGAAGCAGTGCAGGCTGTGACACAGTAGTGACTTGTCCCGTGCGAGAAACGCTAGATAGTCACCTAGTACCTACCTAGGCAGTAAGAGCAAGAGTTCCGAATACCTTGTGCCGAGTAGTATGATATCTAGCGAGCTAGGTACCACTGTATTTTCCCGCAGTACGAGGTGGGAAGACGCTGAGGCCGCCTAGCGAGGCTATGTACGAGACACTTGGTAACCATGTGCTCAGTTCTCGTACATATTGATGAGCCACAGCATCGCCTCTAGGATACTTGTTTTGGGATGTTTGGTGACTACTGAAGTCTACAGTACACAAGATATAGCACCAGAAAGTACCTACACTGGGTGCCTGGTAACGAGCGAGGTTGGGGTTGAGAAAAGTGTGTTGATCGACAAGTTCATTTCGCTGATCATATTTCGTTTGAGGGTGATGGGCACTCCACCCGCCCTCTAGCATGGTCGTCATCCTTTTTCTCACCTGTCCGCCATGGCCACCATAGCACCATGGTAATTTCTTCTGAGACTCGGTAAGCGAGAGCCCTCGAGTCCTTTACAGAGTTCATTCTGCGCCTTTTAGCTGCAGGTCCCGACCGAGGGGATGGCCCTTGACGTATCCGCGCCTATCAAGGCCCTTCGGATGCAGCTGAGATTGGCCCGCCTTCACCCGTAATGAGCCTGATTAGCTAGCAACCGCACAGACCTCAACTAGCTGGCTCCTCCGTTCTCGCGTGGCAGCTGAACCTTCAGCGCCTTCAACTCCCCCCCGGGCTTCAGAACGGGCTGGACAACTGTGACTTTGTGGCCTGGAAGGCACCCGCAGGTGACCACCGGCGACCAACCAAAGCCGCCGCCTTCCTGTGCTTTTCCCTCTTTCGCTGTTTTTCATGCCTCTCTTTCCACACCTGCGCCCTCCTCCACTAAACACTACTCAGCCAGTACCACTACCAACGTCCGCTCCCTCGACTTCCCTTCCCACTCTCTTGACTGACCTTTGCAAATTGTCATTCCCTTCTCGCGAATCGTCGTTCCGTCCCTTCTCTTGCGTCTTATGCCCCAGTACCTTCTGAATTTCGGCCAAAGGTGCGGCGGAACCATATCCACTTCCTATACAATCGAGCCTGTGTCGCGTCGCAAATGAGTCCTAATTCCCAACCTCGAGGCCACTGATTTGCCGAGCGGACCAACTGTGCGTGAAAATACCATCACACAATACTTAGCAAAATTGTCCTTCCGGCAGTCGCTGTCGATGCCATGAATTCGTTGCTGGTTGCTGGCACTCACAAACTTGTGCTTGGGGTGGCTTGCGCATGACCATGAACCTCGATATTCCATTTGGCCTTCCTCGCTGATGCAATGGCCGCCGCCATGGTTGCCTCCGAATCCTCCCTCAGCAGCCGCGTTTCCTTGATCTCCCTCGACCCAGCGGTTGCTAGTCACATTACTGGCACTACCAGGACTACCACCGTCCCTTCTGCTTCGCAGTATGGGTCGAGTCCGAGAAAAAGTACCAAAACGCCCGACACCGACGTCTCCCGCACCCACAATAGAAACAATTCTGCTCCCAGTATTTCAGACAGGAAGGCACCGGTATCGCTCAGGCGCGTCAAGGATAGTACAGAGGTCTTGAGACAGCGCTCAACGAAATCATCTAAAAAGCCCAAGCAGTCGCTGGAGACGGTCCCAGACAATGTCCATGGTCGCAACTTCACTGTTGGCAATGTAGGAACTGGTGGGATCCTCTACCTGACGCCGTCAACGCATCAAACAAGCAATGCATCTCCACACTCTGTTGCCTCACCAGTGCATTCACCTTCAACAGCACCAGCTATTCTGAGCAATGGCGAAGGAAGACCCCTGGTGAATGAAAAGGTCTCAACCACCCGATCAGTAACCTCTTCTCATTCGCAGCAGACAACCTCTTCAAAACGGTCTGTTAGACGTTCACCGAGGCCCAGGGTCTTCTCGAGTCACGGTCGGTCACAGTCCTTCTCTACTATTGAAGAACATCGCCAATCATTGCTGGCTCCACAGTCGCGGACACTGAGGATCGTTATCAATCGCCCCGAGACCGCAAGACCAAAGACATCACAAGAATCCACTGAAGAAATGGCTTTAGAATTTCATCCCACCCTAGAAGTTCCTATTCCACATTATCGTATCGGTACATTCCGCCTCAGTTCCAATGGAACTCCAATGCTGAGGGGGTCCTCATTCACCAGGGGATCTATCACTCCCTCGGACGTCACGCCTACTCAAGCTATTATGCAGGCAGAGGGATTCTTTGCAGCGCCGCCGCCTGCTAGCATCAAAGCCTTCGCAAAACTGGAAGCAACAGAGATGAGCGGCGGAGAGGAGCCGGCGCCCGCTACACCTCCCATGCCATTACTTGCCAAGGTATCATCTACCTCGACGTCCAGTGTGTCCAGCATCATCCAACCACAAGTTTTTGACCGATTGACCGAAATGTATGATGATCCCTCGGTTGTCCGTTATTGCCAGAACGTGAGGGAAATCACTGCGGCCACACCTGCTCGGATTATCGCCCAAATATCGTCGGACTCTTTCATGGACTATGAGCTGGTCTCTGATTTTTTCCTGACATTTCGGTCTTATATGTCGACTTATCAAGTGCTTGATCTTCTCCTTGCGAGGTTAAGGTGGGCCATAGGTCGCTTAGAAGACGACGGCAGGATCATCCGCGTACGCACGTTTGCCGCCCTTCGTCATTGGATCCTGAATTATTTTATGGATGACTTTTTTGTTGATCACCGCCTTCGGGTACGTTTTTGTAACGAGGTCAACAGACTGTACAACGACGTCAGGGCAAATCCAGCGAATGGGTTCAGCGACCTCAAACTCCTGCGCGACTTGAAGCGTTGCTGGAATGGGCGATGCTCGTTATGCTGGGGTGCCGAGAATTTCGATCTGGACGGTGAACAGGAAGAAGACATTCAACCCGGGGGAGTGGATGAGACTGACCGTACCCCACGGCAAGGGACCGTCGCTCATCCTGCTCAGGCACAGCATGCAACCCCCCAGACCGCAGTCTCACGAAAGGCGCAACAAAGTTGGTTCGAAGCAGATACTGCCGTTAGGCCAAGCCATGATCGCCAAACATCGGGAAATTCTGGTCTACTGAGCGATGGCAGCGTGCAAGCAACCTCTTGTTTCGTCCCCAAGCACCTTCTACGCCCTAGCGGTAGTGGCAGTGAAAGTCATTCGAAAGCTCCTCATCCGGTCTCTGTTCAATTAAGACGAAAGAACGCACCCGCGAACTTGCACGTAGTCACCCAACCCCTACCGGCTCAAAAGGTCATTGGCCACAAGAGAGGAGCAAGCTCAATTGATAGCAACAGAGAGCCAACCCCTCGCAAAATGCAAGCTGAACCTCCTGTGCAGGTCGTGGAAGATGGAAGCATTATTCGAGGACTTCTTTACAGCCCAAGCACTCCTTTCGTTCAGATTGTGTCTTCACAGTCCACGCAATCTCTCGACAGGCAAGAAATGGGGGCCCCAGAGGACCTAGAAAGGAGCATGGTACACACTCTGCGGCTCAACCTGTGGCAAGGAATATCTTTGGTTCGTTACGAAAGGTTCTCGGGAGTAAACATGGTCATATCGATATGACCCTGATCACAGTTGCTCAGTCTGCCCAAGATGGTCCGGTACGTGGTCAAACCGCACATTTGCCTCTCAATGTTTCTAAATCTCATGACGAGCTACGAAACAAGCTTGGAACGGTTGTTCCTAGAAAGGGCGAAATGCGTATCGATCTTCTCTCGGCCGCGGCATGTCAGAACTACGAGACAAAATTTCCTTCGAAACATCGAATCAGTTACGCCCCATTCTTTGCCATTAACCGTCCTCTTCAGCCAGCCGCTTCAGCTGAGGATGAACAGGAGCCACAGCGAATGCCAAGTCATGCCACTCGTCAAAGTGGCTCAATTTTAATAGTTGACGATACGCGTCCAGAGTTCCCTTCGATGTCTGGCGCGCTTCCAGTCCCAGACATCGACTTTGATTACGGGGAGACTGCTCCTTTACCTCTACTCAGTGTGCCTGGTGCTACACTACTGGATGATCGAAGAGCCAGTCTTGATGGCGTTGCAACACAAAGGAGTTCAAACGTCCTTCCACATGATATAGGTCTGCCACCAGCACAAGAACACAGGAGCAGTTCAGAACTGGTCACAAGAGAGCTCATCGAATCCGATGCTGTGTTCGATGTCCAGGCTGAGTCCCCGGTTGCGGTTGATAGAGCAAATTCTCCTACGACGGCCAGCTCCAGAACTGTTCGGGAGGAGATCAAGCCAGTCGATACTTTCGCGGATGCAGATCTTGTCATTGAATCTGAAGAAGCCTCTGTCCCAGAATCCATGCAGAACGGAAACATTGATGCGCCAAACTCGAATCCCGAGACACGACTCCCGCCGCAAACCCTCAGACGGAGGCCAGGAGGAGACCTGCGTCGAGTGGAAAACGTGCAGGAATTGGATCATACATTTCACCATGCTTCACTGGATACTGCGAGCGTCATCTCTGAATCAACTCATGGATCATTACTTATCATGAAAACGGATACTGTTCAGCGTATCGCTTCGGTAGAAGTCCCGCCGCCCAAAAAACCCATATCTCTGATCAATACTCACTCGTCCCAGCACCTTCGGCCTTCCTTTGAGGCCGCTATCGCTGGCTTTTCTGCCATTCCCGATGACGAGGATGGCGGACTCGAAGCAACCCTGATGAAGCTTGAGGGCCGGTACGAGAAGAGATCACCACCAATGGAACAGAATCCGCTGGACACTGCTGCAAGGAGACGATCCCTACCAGAGCTGAGTCGGATTGTCCAGCCAGGAGCTAGCAGTTCCGTACCGACCACCGATCATCCTGTGCCAGCTCCTGCTCTCACCAGCGCCATTCGCACGACAGTGGATGAAGTCGCCTCGGAGCAGTCTGGGGACGAACCCCTTACTCCAGAGCCTCTGGTGGTGGAACTGAAGCCGACATCCTCTCGCCGATCTTCCATCTTCGGCCTTCCAACGGAAAGCGTGGCCGATTCTGACGAGTCTTATGGATCTCTGCCATTATTGAAACGGGAAGCAGGTCATGAGAGCACCGCTGAGGCTCTGCCCATGAAACCAAACACAGATTTGCCTATGGTTGCACCGGGGTATTTTCCACAAGATCCTCCTCAACTATTCCATCTACCCAAGGGGCCTCCACCGAGCGGACTCAAGCACAGGACAAGTATTCCACGACCAGAGACTGCCAACGACAGTGCACGATCTTTCCTTCTAGATGAAGACGAGAACCTCTCAGACCTGTCTTCAGAGATATCTGTGGACATCATCAATTATTCCGAAGTCGCAGGTCGTTCTATCTCGCCCATGCTTGCCGCCCCTGGAACAGCTATATCTGGGCTGGAGATACCAGCACACCCGTTGACCTATGCCTCGGTGGTGAACTTGCGCATCCCAACTCCACTAGAACGAGCCTCGGATCCCATGCCACAGAGCAAGACAGCGCAAACGACTCAGCGCCAGAATAAAGATCAGCCGACCACCGAGCAAAGAAACCTATCATTCACAGAGCCATTGGCACGTCTCCCGGCAGGTCCGGCGCATATGCCTTTCATCCTCGCTTGCGACTCGCAAGTTCTTGCGCAACAAATGACACTGATAGAAAAGTCTGCACTGTCCGAAGTCGAATGGTCCGACCTGGTCGAGATGCGGTGGAGCAGCAAGACAGATGACGTTCTAGATTGGGTCGAGTGTGTGTGCAACGGAAACGTGCGAGGCATTGACCTAGTCAGCACGCGGTTTAACCTAGTTGTCAAATGGACCTTGTCCGAAATTGTTCTGACACAGGACATTCATGAAAGAGCACGAGTCATCACCAAATACATCCATGTCGCAGCACATGCTCGCCGACTACACAACTACGCCACAATGCTGCAACTCACGCTTGCGCTGACCTCGACCGACTGTACGCGACTCGCAAGGACTTGGGAGTTGGTGTCAAGCTCGGACAAGTCGTTGTTGAAACATATGGAAGCACTCGCGCAACCGTTGCGTAATTTCCACGATCTGAGGGTGGAAATGGAATCATCCGATCTCAGCGGCGGCTGCATCCCATTTCTAGGTTGGTCATTTCTTCATCACGACCCATGACGCAGATGCTAACGTGTACCCAGGATTGTATATTCGTGACTTGACATATAATGCACAAAAGCCCTCTCATGTTGCAAGTACTCGCGGGAACGAGTCGCTTGTCAACTTTGAACGTTATAGGAGCACGGCTATCATTGTCAAAGGTCTTCTACGGCTAATTGATGCCAGTTCCAGGTACAACTTTGAACCAGTCCAGGGAATCGTTGAGCGGTGTCTCTGGCTGGCCGCTCTCGGCGATGAGCGGATACGCAGCGCAAGCAAGACATTGGAAAACTAATCCATGGACATAAATATTGGATATCAAGAGAATAATGGCTGGAGGGGGGATTTGATCCGGAGGAGCCGCCACTCAGCTTATGCAGGGTTTATTGCCACTATATTGATTTCCAGCAGTTTAGCGATTGGCAGCGTCAAGCTAGCAAGCGTGCCTCTTGTTTATTGAGTTGTCTGAGCCTTTTTGTATTTGAGAAGTCACTCGAGATATTGGATTGCTGGTCAACGAGCAGGATAGTTTGACTCTAGCGTGGTGTTGGAGGGAAGAGGGTTGGTTGAAGTCATGGATAAGTAGAAAACGACGCGGTGGAACGAAGTCTGAAGCGATTCAGCACTAGAATTGTGTATCACACAACATAATTTGACGACTGGAGAGAGAGAAATCAAGTCCCCTATCTTGAGCGGGCCTTCACTCGCATTTCAGTCACCAACCACATCCTATTGAAATACTCTGCTGTGTCGTGATGGACGCAGGCGAAAATTCAGGCTTCCACTTCCTCGGCACCGCCAAGTGGCCGTTGGACAAAGTGTGGAATTCATCCTCCTCACACCGGCCCAAGAGAGCATGGAGCACGACGTCTCGGTCCATCGGCATGCATCAACCAAGGGGACTTTTGCCATTAACTTTTCTAACTCATGGACTACACGCTCGACGGCAAGATCCTCGTCTTCACTAGCCAACGCTAAGCCATCAAGATCATCCACTTGTCCCGTCAGCGACCGGGAGTAAGGACACTCCTCGAGGCCAGAATGACCCATGGCTGGGCAGCAAGAGACGGCCAGGCATCGAGGTATCTCTCTTGTGTGCTGGACTATTATACCTACGAAATCTCACAGTTTGATGGCTGAGTCTAGACATCAGGGGAAGTGGCCAAATGGTCTCGGTTCCTTTGATTTCACTCCCCTCTTTTGCAGGAATCTTGATGGCGCCACGCATTAGACGACCCTAACTCCGATCCGAGATAATGGTCAATGGGAAGAAAAGGGAGGATAATTGCTATTATGAACGGCGCTGTTCGAAAAGATTGATCCTTCTTGGTGGGATATGAGTTTATGCCGGTTGTCGATGGCATCATCTTGCTATACCGATGGCATCATTTTTGATATGCAACAACAACCCAATGAGGTGTCTAGAACCACAACACAACTCCGCATCTAGTCGGAGAAGTCCCTTTTGATCCCAGAGAAATGGTAAGCAATGGGGAGCGTTCCGATGTTTCGCTCGAGTACAAAGAGCGTGGCCTGGCCAGATGTACCTTGGGCTTGGGACTGAAGCATTCGTACCAGCATCTAAGCTTCTCCAAGGTTCTTGGGATACAATGGCAGACAAGCTTTTTGTCTCGGATGACAAGGGAAACTCAAGCATTCCTGTTGTCTCAGAGACCAAAGAGGACAATGGGATTCATGTCGCCCGTCGTGGTGAAGAGATTGCAGAGGACTCTTCCCTTGAGAATGAGATCGTCGGTTTCGATGCTGCGCGGATGAAGGCTCGCACTCTACTGACTGCGGCCGAGGAGAAGAAGCTGATGCGGAGGGTGGATTGGCATCTCATGCCATTGTGCAGTATCATGTTCTTACTCAAGAACATGGACTATCAGAATGTATGAACCAGCTACTTCCACTGCCCACTGACTGGACTGTCAATATCAGGCACTGACCCAAATTTCACAGGCGGCCAACGCTCGAATCATGAATAAGGGAACCCCAGACAACATTATGACCCAACTGCATATGACCGCGGATGAGTACAACTTTGTCTCGACCATTTACTTTGTGGGTTGGCCTGCTACATCCCCTTACACTTGGTCTACATAAGTACTCATTGCAACATAGATACCTTACATCATCTTTGAGGCTCCGAGCAACCTATTCATCAAGAAGATGCTTCCTTCTCGATGGCAGTCCCGCATCTTGGTAAGGAATAGTCCTCTCTCAGAGTTTCTCGCAGTATGTTGATGATGTCGCAGATCTCCTGGGGTCTTGCAATCGCATGCCATGCTGCAGTCAAGAACAAGGCTGGACTCTATACAGCCCGTTGGTTCCTCGGCATGTGCGAAGCAGGCATGTTTCCCGGCGTGCTACTGCAAATGGTGTACTGGTACCGCCCCGACGAGATGTCGATCCGTCTCCTCTACTTTTATGCTCTGGGAAACTTCTCCAATGTCCTCAGTGGCGTGTTGGCATTCGGCTTCGATACCATCTCAGGGAGCCATGGCCTTTCTGGGTGGCAATGGTAAGCTTCAGAACTGCTTCCTCCTCAATGGAAAGGGAAAGGTCGACTCATGGAGATTACTGCTAGGCTGTTCCTCGTCGAAGGGGTCATTACAATTGCGTTTGGTATCTTGCTATTTTTCGTCTTGCCAGACTGTGAGTACAAAGTGATTCTCAGGAGAAAATCGCAGGCTGATCAGTTGTACAGTCCCGAAGCAGGCCAAATGGCTGAGCGAGAAGGAAAAGGCCTTCATCCAAGCCCGCTTGCCCGCCAATGCCCCGCGAGCGGAAGAATTGAATTTCAGCTTCCGTGAAATCGTCACAGCTTTGAAGGACAAGAGGATGTGGCTGTTTACCCTCGTCTGGGCAACGATGACTGTTGGCACGACAGGTCTGGGGTTCTATCAGCCGACGGTCATTGCGAACTTGGGATTCACGTAAGTACCAGCAAGCTTGCTAAAACGCCCGGAAAACACTCACCTACGATACTCATTCTCTTTTCTCAACAGGTCAATTGCGAAAAGCCAACTCCTGAATATACCCACGTCCTTCCTCTCCATAACGATCATCGCCGTTTCCGGATACTTCGCAGACAGCGCTTGGTTGCCTCGCCCCACAATCCCACTCGGCTTCCTCGTGTCCATATTAGCATGTTACAGCGTCCTGTACACGTTTCCTAACAACGGTGGCGTCTACGCAGCGACTGTGTTGGCCAACTCAATTGCTCAAAGTTGGTACCCCATGATGTGGCCGTGGCGTGTTCAGACCACTTCTCGTGCAACGGGATCTGCGTTCGCCATCGGTTTTGTCAACAGCTACGGCCAGATTGGTGGAGCAATTGGACCACAGATCTTCCAGTCCAAATATGCGCCACACTACACTGTGTCATTTGCCGTAGCCATGGGCATCATCGGCGCTTGTATCCTGGTCACCTTGTTTACCTGGTGGGTTACGCGGGAAACGGAACGCCAGACGAGGAGGATCAAGAAATTGCGCGTGAAGGCTGCGAAGAGAGGAGAATCGGTGCTGGATGATGTCGACGCGAACGCAGATATAAAGAGAAAGGAAGAGGTGGGCATCCCAGCTTAGCCCAGAAGCCTACCAGGACCAACGTGAGAACACGAGCTCCAGACATCGCCTACGGATAAACGGATAACATACACCATGCTTTGAGAAGCAGTAGAAAATAAAAGATAGAGCAGAACCAAAATGCAGCCAGTCAGTCAATCCACCTATATCTGAAACTGTTTGACCTGTACGTTTCGTTCAAGTCCCCGGTATAGATAAACCTCGTCCGCCGGAATTGGAGCAAAAGCTTGTCATCTTGTCGGAGTCAGTGAGGGCTCCGGTGCAGTTACTGCTTCGAGAACCTCCAAAGAGTCCGTACACTGTGTGGAAAACCCATTTGCGAGGTGCGAGTGAAGACGTGGTCTCAGAAAACGGTGGGTAATTATTCCCGATATTCCACGTGCCCGAAAAGTTCCGAGCGCCAAGCGATCCTACGAAGAACAAAAGATTATATATTTCAGATGCCAATTTTTAAGCAAAATGACTATCATTTGGGCGCATAGCTCAGGGGTAGAGCGCTCGCTTTGCATAACCCTCAACAAGTAACACGAAGGGAATAAATGTGCGAGAGGTCATGGGTTCAAATCCCATTGTGTCCAGTCTGTCAGATACTTCAAGATTGTGTTTGGAAGTATTTTTGAAGTTTTTTTGCTTCCTCTGAAAGAGGAGCTCTTTTCAACTCATAGCCTTGAATATTTACCAAGTACAGACATCAGTACCTAGGCTGCCTAGGTGGACTATGTTGTAAAACAGCGCAAATATCGTCACTCTCAGTTTGCCTAGACATTGATCACGTGTGCCTTTCCCTGTCTGGCCGTGTTCGCTAGTCTAGGCTCAAAACTTTATTTTATTTTTGTTTAGCCTGGTATCAATATTCATGCTCACCGGCTGGCATAGAGAGTACTGTACCAGTGACTGCTGCCCGGTTCAATCCTTGTTTTTCAACATCAGCAGTCATGAACGGCACGAAGCCTGGTCCGTCGGTGGCTGATATGGCCAATATGTCTACCGAAGAGAGGATGGCGGGCATGGAACACTCTGAAGTTCGCTACTTTACGAGGTTGGTACGGCTACCAAAATGACAATGGCGTCAAGTAACCCCAAGCACAGTTACGATCATCATGGAATCCACGAAGAGATGCTGGTACGGAATCAAACCTACCTCCCACCTGTGGTGAGTCGCAAGCTGATTACAATCGCAGAAAGATGAAGTCCGGACCCGATCTTACCGAGACGCTATCTACCAAAATCCACATATCTTCAAAGACAAAGTCGTCCTCGATGTCGGCTGCGGCACAGGCATCCTCAGCATGTTTGTGCATCCCCTGACCTGCGACTGCAGAGACAATAGCTGACTGCGACTAGGTTCGCTGCAAGGGCGGGTGCTCGACATGTCATTGGTGTCGACATGTCCAGCATCATCAACAAGGCCAAACTCATCGTCGAGACCAACGGGCTCTCAAAGAAGATTACTTTGCTCCAAGGCAAAATGGAAGAGGTGGAGCTACCTGCACAGCATCTGAACAATGGCAAAGTCGACATCATAATATCAGAATGGATGGGCTACTTCCTGCTATACGAGAGCATGCTTGACACGGTCCTTTACGCTCGCGACAAGTATTTGAGGCCGGGCGGCAATATCTTCCCAGACAAGGCCACGATCTTCATGGCGGGCATTGAGGATGGAGAGTACAAGGAGGACAAGATCGGATGTAAGTGCGGTCAATAAGGTGGTTAGGGCGCAGGCTGACTTTCCGTTTCCAGTCTGGGATAATGTCTACGGATTTGATTTCTCCCCTATGAAAGAGAGCGCTCTGAGTGAACCTCTAGTCGACACGGTGGAGTTGAAGGCACTGGTCACGGACCCGTGCCCTGTCTTCACTATTGACCTCAATACGGTCAAACCGGCCGAGCTGGCATTTTCAGAGCCCTTCCTGCTTCGGTGTCAAAGAAACGACTTCATCCATGCTCTTATCGCGTGGTTCGATATCGACTTCACGGCGTGCCACAAGCCCATCAAATTCTCCACGGGGCCTCACACCAAATATACGCACTGGAAACAGACTGTCTTTTATCTGCGACAGGTTCTGACTGTGGAGGAAGGAGAAACGGTAAAGGGTTTCCTCTCCAACAAGCCCAATAGCAAGAACCGACGAGATCTCGACATCAAGATCGACTATGAACTCGAGACCTCGGACCCAAGACGATCCGCGCGCGGAACCTGCGAATACCGAATGTAAGGCCTCCCTGTCCCCCGACGTAGCCGCGAATTACTGATCATTCGCAGGTGCTGATCCCATGACCACAATGGGAACGACATCCGTCCTTTGCATGGTTATTCGGCGTGATCTTGAGGTCTACATCCGTCCTGGATAAACCCTTGGAGATCCCGTAGCATTCATTGATCTGTGAAGGGGCGATGAGAACAGACACATGGATGAATACCTCGTCTACGACGAAAAAGGTGACCGAGATGGAGGCCCCCCGGAACAAACAAACCCAAGCTCCTCGTTATTTGTCTAAGATACCCCACGAGTTGACGCTGATTTTGATAAACGAAAAATATTCAATAATAAAGGCACACGACGATAGATGTCGTAGCTACCTCGAGCTGAGATCTTACATCTGACATTCCACGCTGAATTCGATGAAGTGTCCTTGTTTCGAAAGAAGTGATTGATTGATTGATTACTCTTCGTGATGGTGGCCTTTTGCCGGCTAACGTTGTAATCGAGGCATAACATCTAACCTCGGCACGCGGCTCCCCACATCCCAGTCCGCGCACCTCGAAACCCCCCAAACTTGAAGCTGACTTTGCCCAATGTAATCCTTTCCTCTCCCAAGTCCTCTGTTTGATTTTGGAGCTGCCCAAGGTGCATTTGAAGCTCGTATACTTTTCTTCCTCTCCAAAGAATACCTCAGCGCTCGAATCAGAATGTCAGGTCCTGGTGTTGGCTTCGAATATCCTCCGACCGAGGTGTCGTGGTTGAAGAGAGATGTCCTGCTCTTCGCCGTGAGCATTGGCTGCACGGTGGATGAGTTGCACTTCATCTACGTGAGTGCCTGATAGCGAGTCCCCCCGAGTACACTGGACACCTCTCACTGACAACTCTGTAGGAACTCCATCCCAATTTCGCCGTGTTTCCCACATACCCGATCATCCTGCGTGAGTCCGGTCCTCGTCCTGGCTTGTCCACCGCAGCTTCGAACTCACAGATGCGTTAGCCTTCAAGAAGACCACACAAGAAGTCATCGACTTCTATGCTGTTCAAGCCAGCAATCCTATCCCGGGCATCCCCAAGATGGACCCAAGACGTGCCGTCGATGGCCAGCGCCACATCGAATTCCTCAAGCCTCTGCCACCGACATCCGCGGGCCGAAAATTCGAGCTGCGGTCCAAAGTTATTGGAGTCTACGACAAGGGTAAACCTGGCACGGTGGTCGAGACTGAGCAGACCATCGTGGACAAGGAGAGCGGTGAGGTGTACAGTCGGGTGGTCAGCTCTGGCTTCTTTGTCGGCCAGGGCGGTTGGGGTGGGCCCAAGGGCCCTGCGTCCGTCAACTATCCGCCGCCCAAGGGCCGGGAAAACAGTCCCGATGTAGTCAGCGAGAAGCAGCTGACTCCGGAGAGCGCACATCTGTACAGGTAAGCAGCTCCAACCAGGTTTCCAAAACCAGCGTCTCTGACACTAGGCGACTGCAGACTCAACGGCGACTATAACCCACTCCATGCGACACCTGAACCCGGTAAGCAGATTGGTTTCGGAGGCGCGATCATGCATGGTTTATCGACCTGGAACTTTGCGGCACATGCCCTTCTAAAAAACCTTGGTGGAAGTGATCCAGCCAATATTAAGGAATTTGGAGCTCGCTTCGCCGCCCCTGTAAAACCCGGTCAGAAGCTTGTGACAAAGATCTGGAGAACTGGCGACATCAAGGACGGCTGGGAAGAGGTCCGATTCCTCACTGAGGTCAATGGTAAGGTTGTTCTGAGCAACGGTCGGGCGCTGATGAAGGTTGTGGGAGGAAAGAGCAAGCTTTGAGTAGCTGCTGGGAATCAAATACAATCCCGGATAAACATGAAAATCTCTTCTGAAGTTGAAAGATACTCGGTCGCCCGGTAATCAACCCCTTTCCTGTGGATTGTGACGTTTATTCTATTCTCGTCTCACTTGACTCGTCTCACTTGATGCTCCCTCTTTCATCTCATGCAGTTCTTCATGACCGCGCGCACGCCTTGCGACACGGATAGCTTTGTTCAGGAATATCCCTACAAGAAGGAGAAATTCTCGGCACGGTGTCAGACGGCCTCAGGTCCGACATAGCGAAAGTCTGAAAATTTCTTCGATGATCCTCGAGCATCGTTGTCGTTGGGTTCCGCTCCCAGAGTCGGATGAAAACGGCGCCAGACATAATAACGAAAACGAGGTCGGCGTTGAGAGAAAAGGCGGAGGGTGCGATGATGGGGCGGATCTGGGGGAAGTGCTAAGAGAAGTTGAGTGGCGCCGTCTGGTGCCGTCGGCTTTTGAGACGACAAATCAATGGGCGCGGGGCGGCATTCGACTTTTGCGGAGTGGAATTGCTAGACACACCAGGGCATCCACACCTATCTCGACACCCTGCTCAACTCCCTGTCTCCCTGCTCCGTGTCACCCCGGGTTGGGCTTGTAACGCAGACCGCCAAGGGGATGTCCTTTCGCTCCGTCCGGAAGCCTTCCTCGATCGGTTTGCTCCTCTCTTAGCCACTCCTACCTTCCGCCTCAAACCAAATCACTATTGGTGCTGTTCTTATGCTCGCATGACGACGTGGAATCTTGGCACCTTGAATGATCGACATCTCAGCTCGCATTCCGCCCTTGATGCTCCCTCTGTCAATGGAAATGCTGTTACATCAAAGCTGACCTCGCTTCTGCTGATAGGCTGATGCCGCCGCTCATCTCCTGTACCATCCCTTCGGGGGACTTGCTTCAGAGGAACATGTTCCATCATGTTGCACCCGACCCCCGCAAGTTGACGGTCTTGAGCTGCACAACGAGAATCCAACTCCTTGGCGCCCGCTCGATTTTCTCCGTGGATTTGCCAGATCTGGCATGGGGAAGGCATCGTCAATGGCGCTGCGAAGAAGGGTTCGAGTGACAGCAAGGTTTTCCGAAGCAATTCCAAGCCACCACCCAAGCTGTCGGGCGAGGAGGCCAGTTTCTTGGAAGAGGTCTTGGTATATTTAAGATGGACGAACTCGCCCTTCGTCCTTGCCCTGATCGCTCAGGCCAGTGTGACCCTGCGGATACGTTTGCCATACTCTCTTGTCCTTCTCAAAACACTACAAAGAAATCTACCGTCAAACCGCAAGCATGGGTGGAGGAGGAGGTAAACCTCTGAACATCTTCCGCCTTGGTAGTTCCCTGTCGGATGAACCCAAGGAAGTTCTAAACTGGAGACTTTGGTTTGCGGTTGTCTCTTTTGGCATTATGGGTGCTGCTAGAGGAATGTGAGTGGCCACCTGCATCATCCATTATCCGGGAATGCTCTAGCTGACAGCAATGTATAGCGATGAAGGGTTGATTAGCGGTAAGAGACACAACGGGGACGTGACCGCCAGCTCGATCTTTACTAACCGTGTCCGACCAGGCACGTTTAACACGGATGATTTCCAGCATCTTTTAGGGTTCGACAAACTTGATGAGGATGACTATGCAAATGTCAAGGGCAATGTCTCCGCAATGGTTCAGATAGGTAGCGTTGGTGGCGCCCTATTAGCTTTTGTTCTCGCCGACCGTATCGGTCGTCTCTGGGCCACTCGACAACTGTGAGCTGTCTCGTTCTTATAGTGCTCAGAAGCTTTTGCGCTGACTACATCTAGATGTCTCCTTTGGATTCTTGGAATAGTCATCTTCATGACCAACAACGGACGATTGGGCCAGGTGTATGCTGGTCGCTTTATTGCAGGATTAGGAATTGGCCAAACCACCGTCATCGCTCCTGTTTACCTTTCCGAAATCTCACCCCGGGCCGTTCGAGGACTTTGCACTTGCGTCTTCTCAGGCTCGGTGTACATTGGAATCATGGTGAGGACGATACTCCCTCCCGTCAACTCAGCAAACTGACCTTCTACAGCTGGCATACTTCTCGACTTGGGGAAGCAGCCTCCACATGAACCAAAACAAGAAAGCCTCCTGGATGGTGCCGACATCCCTCCACCTCATCTTTGCCGGTCTCATCTTCGTTCTGTCGTGGTTCAACAATGAGTCCCCTAGATTCCTGATCAAGAAGGGCAAGGTAGACCACGCAATAGCCAACCTAGCCAAGATTCGAGGCCTCACCCCCAACGACGAATACGTCACGGCAGAGATCAACGGTATCAAGCATCAACTGAATGAAGAGCAGGAAGCGACCATGGGCCAGGGCTTTGTAGGCATTCTCCGAGAGATGTTCTGCATGCCTAACAACTTCTATCGCATCTACCTGGGACTTGGAACTCAGTTGCTGGGTCAATGGTCCGGTGCTCAAAGTATCACCATGTACGTATTGGAACTACCTCGTGTCTCTTTGAACATTTGTTTCAGACTAATTTGCCTCTTAACGCTGTTGCTGACATTGAGTCGCTGTTTAGATATGCTCCTGACGTATGTTGCCCATTTACGATAGCTGTCTTTCTCTGGAGAAACCAGTGGCAGTAGGGAGTCCACTATATTGAGTTGTGCTGAATTATGATTTACAGATGTTTGCGCTCCTCGGCACCAAAGGGGACAATGAAAAGGTAAGTCTGATGCAATCACACTTTTATGCAGCTCAGGACTGACTGGATAATAGCTGTACGCCACAGCCATCTTGTGAGTTCTATCCTCCTTCCAGGTGACACCCTACACCAGTCACTGACTGCGTTTTGATCTGCAGCGGGGTTGTGAAGTTCGTTGCCTCCATTTTCTGTGCCTTGTTCTTGGTCGACGTTATTGGACGAAAGAGATCTTTGTCCATCGGCATTGCCCTACAAGCCATTTCGATGTGCTACATTGCAGCCTTTTTGACAGCTGTGCCCAATATCGACGACGACACTGTCTTCACAGCTTCACAAAAGCATGCTTCAACTGGTGGTATCGTCATGATATACATTTCAGGTGTCGGTTGGGCTCTAGGCTGGAATAGCATCCAGTACCTCTTGAATGCTGAGATCTATCCTCTCAGGATCCGCGCTGTCAGCAGCTCACTCGTAATGTGCTTCCATTTTGGTGGGTCCCGGTTG